TTTCTTTCTTTCATTCTTTCTTTCTCTCTTTCTTTCTTTCTCTATTTCTTTCTTTCTGCACTTAGTTTCTCTCTTTCTTTTGCTTCTTTCGTTTTATGTCTTACGACCCTGATGAAACTATTGCAACCTTTATGAACTTAGGCCCAGTTCACACTATGGCACACATGAAAACGGATAAAATGTTTTGCGTCCACACTAGTCCGATCAGAGGCGGCAAAAATACTTCATTACACATCTGAGCATGTGCATCGAAGCTGAAATTGAGCCTGCGGTGAATTTTTAGCCTTCCCGCCATGTTCCCATGACAATCATGACGTCATCGTATTCGAAAAATTTTGGATACGAAATGTTCTCCGTCCACACTAACACTGCTAGCCGGCGTTTTCAAATTGTTCCACTCTGGCCGGACCGTATTCAAAAAAATTCGTTTTCGGTGAAAAATTGTTCCGGATTCGCCCGGACTAGTGTGGACGGTAGGCCTAACCGAATAAATAAAAGTTCGGATTCAAATTAGTATCCGGCATAGTGTGGACGGGGCCTTAGTCGAATCCTTTTAGCAAATCATATGCCGACCCTAACACAGTGTTGTCACTTCCGGGACGAGACTGTTTATAACTGGTACTTTAGATACATAAATATTCAAGCCAAGCTCAGTTGAAAGCAGTCTTTCACTTTGTTCAGACTGAGAAAGCACTTCGTCGAAGCCAAGGGAATGTACTAGCTCGACAAGATGAAAGCGCTTTTTTTTTTGGTGCTGATGTTGGTCATTGGAATCGGCTTGGCTAAAAATCCAGGGATTCGTATTCGCTTGACAGACAACGGCCTTGCTTATGGTAAGAAAGATGAAACACTACACTCACATTCGAATCTGTCTTTGGAGTTAATTATTATCAATAATTCATAATTAATAAATGCTTGCTGTTATTCTTAGCTCAATGTCTTTGAAATTTTAGTCTTTCAAAAAGAAAGAAGAATGAGAATTAAAAATCAATATCTTAAGCTGCAGTAATAATATTTGATGCGGAAATAACGAATCACTATACGAAATTTAAAGTAAAATTTACTTATCATCATCAGGCGAGTTGTTTACAAACCTTTCTAGTACAAACCCTTTCGACTTAAGTCAATCGTAAATATGACGAGTGGTTAGAAAGTAGATTATAGACTGTCAGTTATTGAGAAGAAGTAGACTTTCTCTGATAACATGATTGCTATGGAGCCCCAAGCATTGTTATCGCTCGAATGATTAGAAAAAATATTCAAAAATCATTTTGAAGTCTTCTGGATCGCACTGTACAAAATGGCTTGTACTTTTGACCTTCGTTTTGCTAATTGAAGAGGGTTGGATGCATTTTCACCTAGTTTTACCACACTTTTTCCGGTATAAGCGTTTCCAAGGGGAAGTAAAGGAATCAAGATGATCGAGGAAAAGAGAATTCATATTTGAAAACAAATATAAACAGAATAAAATTTAATTTGCAGACCATAATGATATCACAATGTTTCAATACGCACAAGAATTCAAAGTAAACAGCAGTAGCATCTCCTAAACCTAGGCCTAAGAAAATTTGATGCTGATTCAGAAATTTTTCATTTTTCATGTTTCATTTTTGTTTTGTTTGTTTGTTCGTTTGTTTTTGCTTTGTTTTTTTGTT